AACTAACAACTAGCGGTTGTATGTAGAGATAGGGAAAAATGATTTTTGCTATACTGGCTGTATTTTTTAATCAAAGTGCTGAAGACACTGCAGTTGGGACGTTCTTGAAGGATTAAAATAACCATTTTTTACTATTTCGGGGGCAGATAATTCAATGAGTGAAGGGTGTTGCCGGTTGATAAATATAAAGTGCACAATTCAGTAATTGAACAGTAGTTGATACAATTATTCTATGGCATACATGTTCAAATATAATGTTTAGGTTACATGTACGTGAAAATTTATCACAAACCGTTATTGGCCCTTTTAGACAAAAGCAACAAGTGAAATAAGAGCTACCAGAGGAAACTGCAAGCTCGACCTTTTTTAACACATGACATAATAAAGGGAGACAAAGCTATGAAAAACAAGATATGTTTGTAAAACATGTATGCCCCCTATCAGTAGCCAATAAGTTATGTGATCAGGTTATTATGCACAACTTCTGACCCAGTGAACAAAATATGACACTGACCCCTTGACCTCAAAAATCAAAGGGGTCATCTTCTGGTCATGACCAATCAAGTTTGAAGTTCCTAGGCATAAGCGTTCTTTAGTTATTGATTGGACACTGTTTTTACTTACAAGGTCAATGTGACCTTTATCCCCTTGACCCCAAAATCAATAGGGGTCATCTCCAATCACCATGCAAAGTTCGAAGTTCCTAGGCCTTATCGTTTTTTAGTTATTGATCGGAAACCGTTTTTACTTACAAGGTCAATGTGACCTTGACCTTTGACCCCTTGACCCCAAAATCAATAGGGGTCATCTGCTGGTCATGACCAATCATCATACAAAGTTTGAAGTTCCTAGGCCTAAGCGTTTTTAGTTATTGATCGGAAACAGTTTTTAATTACAAGGTCAATGTGACCTTGACCTTTGACTCATTGACCCTCAAAATCAATAGGGGTCATCTGCTGGTCATGACTAATCACCATACCAAGTTTAAAGTTCCTAGGCCTAAGCGTTTTTTAGTTATTGATCAGACACCGTTTTACTTACAAGGTCAATGTGACCTTGACCTTTGACCCCTTGACCCCAAAATCAATAGGGGTCATCTGCTGGTCATGACCAATCACCATACCAAGTTTGAAGTTCTTAGGCCTCAGCGTTCTTTGGTTATTGATCGGATACCGTTTTTACTTCCAAGGTCAATGTGACCTTGACCTTTGACCCTGGACCCCAAAATCAATAGGGGTTATTTACTGATCATGACCAACCATCATACCAAGTTTGAAGTTCCTAGGCCTAAGCGTTCTTTAGTTATTGATAGGAAACCGTTTTTACTTACAAGGTCAATGTGACCTTGACCTTTGACCCCTTGACCGGAAACCATTTGGTCTACGGACCGACGGACCAACAGAACAATTATGCAAATTGTTAAACAATTATGCAAAATGAAAAGCTTTTAAACGTTTTTCACTCAAACCGGGCTAAAAAAGCATAAAAATATGTTCAATTTACTTCAAAGTATTTTTCTTAACTATCTTTGCATATACATTGTATTTCTGTTTAAAGTGCCCCAGCTCATTTATGTTAAAAATCAATTGTTATGTTTTTATGCTTTTAAAGCTCAGTGGGGTTCCTTTAACATGAATGGTAATAGCAGAGGCTGTCTTTAGGGACAGCTTTCTGTCTTCTAGTTGATGTTAAGTTATCCTCCTGTGAAGAATGTGCACAGGGGTTTTAGGGGAAAATATTAGCATTTTCAGGGGAAAATATACCTATTTTTGGCTACTGGTTAAACAGCCTTTATAAAAAGGGGAAATAACTAGGTGGTAAAGGTTAAATAAAAAATGACAATAATGCTCGTTTGTCATTTGTGGGTATGAAGAATCAATTAGCAATCAATAAGAGTTTAGTCAGAAATAATAGGACAGTGCTTCTACCTCTAATATTGTCTCAATTACACAAGACCTGCAGTATTTGCAGGGGCTAAACTTAACAGCTAAATGGCCCATATTGAGGGTTAAATCATTTTTTCTAATATTTCATATAATCCCTTTATTCATTGAATAAGTTTATAACTTAGTGAATGTATAAACATGAAGATAAAATAAAATTATTCTGAAATATTTAAGAATGTGCCCCATTTGTTAGCGACGTTACGGTCGTGACAAGACCAACAAATTGTAGGCGTATATGCCGGTTTTCCCTGTAAAGGCAGACATCTGTGTAAAATCAATATGTAAAATCTGTCGGTTAAAAATTGAGACTATGCTACAGTAGGGTCGAAATGTCTTGGGGACGAAAGACTTGAGATTTCCCAAATTACTTCGAAATTATTAACGAAAGTTTTAGTTCTCGGCACAAACTGACATCAATAAATAAACTTTCTTTTATTATCCATCAAATTCATAACATATTTTGCTTTAAAACTTACCTTATGGGCTAAACAGGCCGATTTGCTTGTCAAGTAGGTCATAAAGTAAACCGGAAGTTGTCGAATTCATTCATAGAATTACTATAGTAATATATTCCATTCATAGAATTAATCGACCTTTCAAATTATATCTGCTACATTTGTAATACCGTAAATCAAGCTCAATTGAACATGATTTTCAAAAAACAATTTTCTAATCTCTCTTCTATTCGCAATAAATCAAAGTTTTCAGAAATACAGAGCACTTTTTTCACTCGCGGCGGTTATGCGTCAGTCATGGTCGGATGATTACTATGAATTCAACTTACCTCAAAAATGTTAGAATACAATATAGCATATAGAATGGTGATGAAACGTCACAGCAGTGGGCGTTACCCTGTATGATTGGAAATTTCGGGTTTGTAAGTACACTAGTTGGGACTACGTCCCAACTAAAAACGAAATTATTATTTAATTACTTCATGGATTCACATTCGATCCTTTAAGTATTGCACGTACACATGATCAACATAATTAGTCTGTACCTTAAGGGGCACAAAAAGGACGGAATAACAAAGAACTTAATAGTTAGTCTTGCACATGAGCAGAAATATAGAAAAATGTTGGATTGTTGGTCCGAGGTAGCAATAGAAAACCAAAGGGGCTGCAAGCTCTGTGATACTTTCTGATCTTTGCAATCTAAATCCTACTGTATATCTGTATGTATTTTCCTGTATAAGTTTATTTTTATATACTATAATACACCTTGCAGGCATCGAGATGCTTCGACTGCGTTTTGATTTTTTTACTATAACAGTTGGAGTTTGATGCATACGGAATTTTGCATGACTAGAGTAGCATCAAAAATCATTTATGTTCATTTTTATGACAGCCACACTTTATCCTTGCATATCGTGGCTACTTCCTTAAAAAAGACACTTAAAAAATGAGAAGTTTAACGAAAAAAAATGCTGAATAAAATCAAATAATTCTAATTTTAGAATATCCATGAAGGGTTTGTAATCCTTATTAATTTCGAGGTATTTTGTTAGCGATATACCTGTTGTTTAACATTATGTAAATAATTTAGCGAAAATCTTCTCGCCAGTCAGTCCGACATGTATATATTCCACTACTCGACAGTCAGATTTATTTGTGTAATACGCTCTGACGTATTCGGTAATCGACATCGTTGAAAATAGCATTTTCATTTTTTTAAATCATATTCATCCGCGTGCATTTATTGACCATTCTATAAGCCACCGCTACATTTTAACATTGAATGCATTGTAATTCGTTTGTAACAAAATAAAAAAAAAATTTCTTTTACATCGCTAGTTTTTATCTGTTTTGAGAACTATTTTTTGTTAGGTTTGTCGTGAAGCTTCTGTGTCAGAGATTGAATGTCAGCATTGTATTTACTGATCTGCGATCAGAAAATACAAAAATCAATAGTTAAAGATAAAACAGAAACATATTAAGTGTTAGACGCCAGAAAATGATTAACATTTCGCTTAAAATAATACAAAAAACACAACGTACTGAGTATTTTTGCTTTGATTCCGGATACATCAAGGATATTATGATTGTAAATGACAAGTGACGATATTTCACGAGTTTGTCATTAGGAATCATACATATTTTAAAACGACTGTTTTGTTAAAACAGGTCACAAGTCCATTATGTATTTATTTTGAATCCTAAAAATGCTTTCCAAATTAGTTTACTTTTATAGTATCAAAAACTTTACTTATTAACCAGCTTTTTGATCCGTTACATTTTGACAATAATTACAGATAAAGTGAATTGGTATTTTGCATGGAAATCAAAATACTACTTTGATTACATTTTCACGGTGGAGGAAGTGTTACACGAAGGATGGAGTTCTTATAATAACTTGTTCAGGAGTTCTTGTGATAACTGTTTTAGCACCTAAAACTCATTTTGGAAAGATGAAAATAACCATTTTTGTAGTATATACAGATGTTTTCCGACGAACTCCGTGACAGTTATCACAAGAACTCCTGAACAAGTTATCATAAGAACTCCATCCTTCGTGTAACACTTCCTCCTCCGTGATTTTGCTATTTTTATGACAACTTACTCCACAGTTGTTCTATTTTTTCCAGGTTATAAGCATCTAACATTCTCTAAAGCCATTATTTAATCATTTAGAAATTCATATGTGCCCTTGGTAAAGAAGTAAATATAATATTTTTTGAGACAAAAAGTGCCTTTAAAGAACGTGATGATTTTTTTGTTGTTAGTACATAAGTACGAGAATTATCTAGCGGACGTGAAAGCGATATTTTCCTTCAAGTTACTGTTTCTCCTTTTAACGGAAGCTGAATGAATATTTAATGTAAATGAGGAGTTATTTTGGGACGTGGTGGCTAACTGGGTTCTCATCATTTCAGATATACTTTTTGCATATAAAGCTATGCCATGAAAAGAAAAATGTGTTGTTTTTATAAACTGGATGTAATATTATTATCAAAATAAACATATTGTTATTAAAAAAACTTACATAAAAATGACAAACATAAGAATTGTTTACAAGCATATCATTTTCAATTTGTGCATCTTACACGTAAGAAGCACACTGGTCAACTTTGATGGTTTCCGGATGTTCGCTGCAGAACTAAGAATGTTAGAGGGGGACCCCTACCCATTGAAAGTAACTTGGAAACAATGCTGCCTCGTCTGTGAAAATATTTCTTCATGTACATCTGTTAACTTTAATGAAGTTTCGAAAGTTTTTGAAATAAATACAATGAAAATGAAATCCAGAGAATATCGTTTGCAGCCAAGTAAAGGATGGAAAATATACGAAAAGGTTTGTTGCTTTCTTATTTATTTCTGTGTAAATGCAAACAATACTTTATGCATTTTTAATTTATTTATGCATCCGTTTTGTAAATAAAAGACAATAATCAATTCTCCAATTATTTCATTCAATTCTTCCATTTAACCCTTACTTTTTTTCTTCATTCAAGTATTTCATATAATTATAGCCTTATTTTCTTTCATATAATTCCGCAATAAACAATCAATTATTATTTTTTATTTATTTTGTTGTTTGTGATTTTAAGTCAAATATTTTAGATGATTTTAGACATTAAATATAGTTAAGAAGTTCATGTTTTTAAAAAAATAAGAAAAAAGGGGCGAAAAGAGTTTGAAAATAAACTGTTTTTGTAGCTTTTCTCTCTGCATGTATTTTTGTTCAGATATCAAACAATTCGATTAGATTTATCCAGAAAGTCAAAGTCTTCTAATGTATCATTCTGTAATGCATTAAATCCTTCAATTTTAATCTTTTTAGCACATTCCTTTTAAAGATACTAAAGTCTAGAGTTTGTTTCTCTAATTTACTGGTATAAATGTAATATTTTGAGAAGAGTGAAATCTATGATGTTTTCTTATCTTTGGAGTTAAAGAAAGATGTAAAATTAATCATATGTTTACATATTTATTGCTATTAGTCATTTGAATAGTTTACTCCAAAATATTTGTACCGTTTGGCAGTCCCAAAATAAATATTCTATACTTTCAATATCCATACAGCAAATATCACAAAGACTAGATTCGGCTAATTACATTGAAGGGGGAGCTTGTTTGCACCTTCATTTCGTGCAAGCAATTCCTTTATCCATTCCTTTACCTATTTTTGACATTTAATATCTTCATCCGAATCTTCATAAATCAATTCATTGTTTCCTTCTTGTCTGTCTCAAACATTATACAGTGAATCTTTTGCATTCACAGCTCAATTAAAGCCAAATATATGGATTGTGTATCATGTAATGTTCCCTTGATATTGTGGGTATTTCAGACTTGTTTTATTGGTGTGTTTAAAATTAAAGGTGCCATTGTGTTGTTTTCAACAATAAAAGGAACATTGATACTGCAAAATAATGTTTCGTTTGTATGGTGTTGTTAATGTTGTTTTTTTCCTCTTTTTTGTTTCGCTTTGTTTTGTTATTGAGCTTTTTTCTGTTCTGTTATTCTTTCTGACAAAAAATTGTTTTATTTTTTTCATATCTAGCTACCCTGTGGCCTTGGTTACATGACCGGCAAACGATGTCGTCACATTCAAAACCAGTTTCAATACGACAAGATCCTTACATACCAGGAGGCTTCAGACTTCTGCTTTCTCATCGGCAGAAAACTGGTAACGGTTGAAAATGAACAATACAAAATAGATCTTTTGTCCGACGCCGGTAATTGATTTATTTAAAATCTTTTCCAATATGATTTCAGCGAGACTTATTCTGTTAGATGGTATTTCATTAAAATGACATATTGCTTTTTTCCATTGTCATGTTTAGCTGAATTTCGAAATATTTACTGTTATACTATTGGTTGACAAATTTTTGTTAATTGAAAAATAACAAATATAAATATACTGCTCCACTTTTTTATAAATTGATTGTAGGAAAGTTCTGATGGATATTTATAGAAATGCACTTTGTTTACGTCTGTTATTTATCGTTCATGCAGAGTAATTTATAAAATTGAAAGAAATTTTGGCAAGATGTACACTTATTTTGACTTACAACTTTTCGGTGACTATATGTCCTTGGGTTCGCATAATGCCGTTTTTTTAATATTTTGATCTTAAAATGCTACATTAACATCAAGATTACGATTACTTTTCTTTCATATTTTGCGATATATGTTTTAAACTATACAGCTATGAAATCTTAAGGTTGAATGGTACTACATTATTGTCTGATAGTTTGCTTATAAACCTGTAATGGTTAGTCGGCAATTACTATATACATTTATAATACTTATATTATGAACCTATATGCATTATTTTCCAATTCTCGAAATATTAAAGTAACCAATGGCTTTATTGATGTTGTTGTAACCTAACAAGGCATGTGAATGGGTACATTCCGCTATATTTTTACAAATATTTAATTTAGTGATGTTCAACCTATGTTATTTACAGTTCATAGTTTTTTTTAATATTAGAGCCATTATTTCTTATTTTACCAGGTTTAGCTGACATGTATATACACGCTAACATTTGGCTTGGTAACAGGACAGAAACTAGTTGTCCATGTTTCAGGAGGGAGTTTGCCGATGTTATCATACGTGACTGTGACTCAAATGCCTCTATAGTCTGTGAACGACATTGATGTTCTATTCATGTTTTAAAGGTGCACAGTATCTATTTGAGTGGCAGAAATTCATTTAGAGTGCACGTATTTACGATATTTTGTTCTTGTTGTAGCATAACTAAAATTGCTAGGCTACTTTTCAAAATGACTTCATTAATGGCTATCTCTAAATCAGTCAATGAATATTTCCAAGTCCGTGCTAATGCGTCTAATTATTCGATCTTAGGTGATCTCTTTCTTTTATGATTATTCACTAGGAAATGAGGAAATTGGAAGTACTTGATTTTAAGACGAATTCAGGAATATATAAAATGAATTAATATATTCACCATGTGTTCTCACATTAATCTCGGGAATATATACATGTACAATGATTTAAAGTTAATGATCAATATATTCACCATGTGGTCTCATTTTAATCTCAGGAATATTTAAAATGAATTAAAGTTAAAGGCAAATATATTCATCCTATGTTCTCACGTTAATCCCAGGCATATATAAAATGAATTAAAGTTATTGATCAATATATTCACCTTATCTAAGGAATATATAAAATGAATTAAAGTTATTGATCAATATATTCACCATGTCATCTCAGGAATATATAAAATGAATTAAAGTTTATGTTTTATATACTAACCGTGTGTTCTCGCATTAATCTCAGAAATATATAAAATGAATTAAAGCTAATGATCAATATATTCAATATTTAATATCAGTGCCACTTACATGGCGTAAAGAGGATATTTGTTTGATGGAAATAAATTTCACTGTGTGAACACACGAGGTATGATATAGATTTCTGAGTTATTATAATATGCCTTAAACGTTGTCAGGAGATTAAAACATTCTGAAGTGTTGAAAACAGGACAAACAGTTCCAGATATAAATTTTCATTTTCAATTTATATTGTTGTAAATGAGTTTTTGAGCCAACTATAGATAGTTTACTCTTTAAAATTGTTCTATGATTTCAAATTTAATAATAATAATCAATTGATTTGAGATACATATGTATAATGAGAATACAAAAGTAGTCTAATTGTTATCAATTTTCGCAAATTGTTTCTAATAACTTGATTTCCAAAGCTTTAACAAATGGCCATTAAAATGATGTATGATTTGGACTCATTCATGATATTTTTTATAGGTTTTAAAATATATTCTGAGTTAAAACGCAAATTGAATAAACTGATTGCTTCCACTGTACCAGCATGTACTGAGGATGAAATAGAATTTGAAGTAATATATGAGCTGCTCACGCCACTAATGTTTGCTACCACTGGATCAACAAGTCATGATTGATAGATCATGATTTTGCAAACTGCTATAAGTAAGAAATTTGCGCATGTTCCTGATCAGACTGTGCGGATGCGCAGGCTGGTCTGGATCCATGCTGGTCGCAAACGCACTATGTTGGTTTTGTCATGACGCGGCTCATTTAAGCTTTTGCCTATACTAGGAAAAAATGACATCTCAAGCTCAAAGTCAATATTATCATTGAACTATCATCAAAAACCTTTTGGACATTTTACAAGTAATGAACTATTTCAAATTCTTGATCATATGATTAAACCAATTATATGCTATGGGTCACAAATATAGAGTTTTGAATACAAACAAAACATTGAATATTTGCATAACGATGTTGTTCGAAATAATTTATCGGTAATAAAATCTAAAAATACAGCTATGGTTTTAAGAAAAAATGTGATATAATACCCTTAAGTATTTCCTATATTAAAAACTGAATAAGATATTTTTGCAAACGTCTGATCTTGTACATACCTCATTTTGAAGTCACTGGACGAAATAAGTCCCATATGTAGGGTCACAGATGTAAAACGAGCTGTTTATGTCTGGTTTTAGGTCTGTCTGGATATTTTAGGAAATTGGTCCCTTAAGTATTTGAAACTGTTGTACTCAACAATGGCTAAAAATACAGTGAATTCTTGTCGATGTTTTCGCTAAAATATATTAAGATCAATTCTAAATGTTAAACGCTACCTATTGATAAAATTATTGCTAAAACACAAACAACGCGTTTTGTAATTTTCGTTGTTCCTACTTTATATAAGCAATGATCGTGAATTAGGTATAGAAGTATGCATACATACATACCTTTTGTCAGATTTCGATACAGCGTCGACTTTGTATAAGTTTGTTGAGTCTTCTTAACAGTCATATAAAGCCTAAAGCCCGTACCCAAATAAATTTTCCAGGAGATTTCGGCGTGACACGGTCATATTTTACCTTCAATATTTCTTCCTTCTCAATATAAACTTCGTAAAAAGCACAATATTCTCGAGACAACCTAAAAGAAAAACATTTGCCCTTTTCCGATGCGGATTCAATTTTGTAATAGTTTGTGGGTCTTCCTTGAAGTGATAAAAGGCCTAATCTAAGTAAGATGTCCAGGAGATTTACGCTTTAAAGGTCGTTTTTAGACGGGTGATTTCTTCTTTCTGTATAGTACATGTGTATATAAACTGTATAATTGTTTTGTAGAAGAATACCTTTTTCTCGAGCCAATCCTAAAAACACCATTTTTGTCTGATTTAAATGCGGATTCTTTTTTGTATCAGTTTGGTAGTTCATCTTAACAGGGATATCAGACCCAAACCCGAAACCAAGCACAATCTTTTTGCGTGGTTATTTTTTGGACAATGATTTTTTCCTTCTTGTCTATAAATTGACTAAAGTTTCGTCTAAAGCACCACATTTTCTCGAGCCAACAATTTAAACACAATTTGTCTGATACCGATGCAGATTCGTTTTTTATCTGTCACGGTTCAGAATTGTTCACTATTTAGGTGAGAAGATGTGTAAGCGGCCGGATAGCTCAGTCGGCACAGCCGCGGAACGGTGTTCCGAGGGTCCGGGTTCGAGTCCCGGTCAGGCTGCACATTTTTCTCACCCTGTGACATTTGGCGCCCAACGTGGTGCCGTGACTGCATCTAGCTTAGAGTTTAATTAGCATTGCTCTGTAGCTTTGTGACTGTAGCTTTGTGAAAAACAAGGACGAATTTCAATATTGTGGTTAAGTATATCACGGTTCAGAACTGTTCACTATTTAGGGGAAAAGATGTGTAAGCGGCCGGATAGCTCAGTCGGTACAGCCGCGGAACGGTATTCCGAGGGTCCCGGGTTCGAGGCCCGGTCATAATGCACATTTTTCTCACCCTGTGACATATATTAGTTTGATATGTCTTCTTTACAGTAATAGAAAAACCCTAACTCAAGCAAACCCTTTCTGTGTGACAGAGTCATTTGTTAAGAATTTGTTTTTCCAGTATAAAAATTATAGAAATTGATATAAAACACAAATACAGCAATGATTTTAGGAGATTTGTGTTAAGTAAACTGCAAAAAAAATACAGGAGACTTCTGCGTCGCTTAGTCGTTTTTCGACCGCCGACGTGTTATTTCTGTACAAAAAGTATAGAAACATTCGTAACAAGCACCATATTTTCGATACAACCCTGAAAACACCAGTTGTCTGATTCCAATGTAGATTTGATTTGTATCAGCTTAGTGGGTATTCTTTACAGCAAAATAAAGCCAAAAGCTCTAATCGAAGTAAAATGTCAAGAAGATTTCCGCGTGGCATAGTCAGTTTTTGGACCGACGATTAGTTGTTTTTGTATATAAACTGTAGTAATTATTGTAAAATTCACCATATTATCGAGACGACCCTGGGAACATCATTTACCTGATTCTGATGCAGATTCGATTTTGTTCAAATTTGGTCTTCTTTACAGTAATATAAAGAAAAAGCACTAACCCAAGAACAATGACGAGGAGATTACCGCGTGGCATGGTGGTTTTTGTTGGACCTGCGATTTGTTCGATTTGTACAAGTTCCTAACAGAATAATAAAGCGCAAAGCTCTTAACAAAGAAAAATGTCCCGGATATTATCGCGTGGCAGTGTCGTTTTTTTTTTTTTTTTTTTTTTTTTTTGCCGACGATTTCTTTTTTGTGTATTTAAACTGAAGAAATTCTCGTAAAAAAAACAACATATTCTCGAGCCAACCTTGAAAACGCCATTCGACAAATTGCAACTTCGATTTGATTTTTGTCAAGTTTAGTGAGTCTTTTTAAAAGCAAACTAAAGTTCGACGCCCAAACCCAAGGAAAATGTCCAGTAGATTTTCGCGTTGCATGTAGACATTTTTGTAAAAAGCACATAATATTCTCGAGTTTTTTGTGGTTTTATATAAAGAATGAACAAACCGGAAATCGAAATAACGACCATGCCAAGCGGAATTCACCTGGACATTCTACTTTGGTGGCATGGTCGTTCTTTGTAGTTTTTTGTTGATGTATGTGTGTGTGTGTGTGTGTGTGTGCGTGTGTGCGTGCGTGCGTGCTGCGTGCGTGTGTGTGCGTGTGTGTGCGTGTTCGTGTGTTTTTGTTTTTTTTCGTTTTCTAACCAGGTTTTCAACGAAAACTGATGGTTATTGTAATGCCGAACGGGGCGGCCGGGTGGTTACGCAGGCGGGCGGGCGGCCTTAAACTTTTGGTTTCCGCTTAATGACTTTAGTTTGCTTTGGCGTATTGGCACTAAACTAGGTATGTATGTAGCTTATATCAAGAGGCAGCTTGGGATTGCTATTCAGATGTCTGTGATCAAGGTCAATGCTACTAAAAATAGATATTCAGTTTCAGCTCAATAACTAATTTGCTTTGGCTTATTGACACCAACCTTGGTGTATGGGTAGCTTTTATCAAGATGTTACTTGGCATAACTACCCAGATGACTATAATTGCTAAAAATAGAAACTCAGTTTCTGCTAAATATCTTGAGTTAGTTGTGACCAATTGACAGCAAATTTGGCGTGTGGATAGCGTATATCAGGACACAACTTAGGATTGCTACCCAGATGTCTGTGATCAAGGTCAATGTCAATGTTGCTAAAAATAGCAATTCAGTCTCTGCATAATCACTTGAGTTTGCATAGACCAATTGACACCAAATTTAGTATGTGGGTAGCTTATATCAAGGTATTGCTACCCAGGTGTCTGTGAACAAGGGCAAGGTCACTGTTGCTTTAAAAAGAA